TCCTCTAAAATGAATTCTTCTGATGTGCATCCAATAAGAATTTCTGTTATTTCAATAATATTACCTTTGCTCTATCCCTGTCATTTTCCATAAAGATCTAAACTAAATACCTGCATTATTCATTACCAATTTCTCTTAGATTATAATATTAATATTTAATTTGAAGAACACAGTATGGAATTTATGAATACTTACTAATTTTTCTTATGTCTTCCATGGAGATTTTTTCTTTGATTAGGATAAAGTTATTAAATTATTTTTTAATGTAACTCATTCAGTGCTTCATTAATAGATATGTCTTATGTTAATTCCAATTCAAGTGATTCATTGACGTTTTCTGAATTTTAGATTTATTTCCATCACTTTGCCATTTGTAATGGAAATAACTCAATTCTTTTAAAGTTATCTCTAAATATTCTAATAGTTTTTCCATATGTAATTCCTTGTATTCTTTTACCCTATAAATATTATTAACGTTAAAGATTAAAGTTTCTAAATTAAAATCAATTAATGCTAAGGTATAATATTATAGTGTTTTATCATTTCTATGGATTTAAACATCTATCAATTAATGTTACGAATGTATTTTGGCTACCCCAACTTATTACTAAAATTATATGAAATTACTTTAATTTATATAGTGCCGATAATTTTTAATCTATAATATTTTTAAAAATTTTATCCATTAACCGGATGTTTTTAATCAATTCTTATTGTTTTTGTTTACCAGTATCAACTTAGACTATTCTTAGATGCTGAAAATGGATAGTAAATCCCTAAATTAGAAATTTTAATATATATATATATGAAAAATACCAAACAATTACACTTTTCTTTGCCAAGTTTTAAAATTTTAGCCCATTTTTGTGGTTTTGAACTTTGAGGGTGTGATTTATAATTTTTAAAATTTTGAAAGAGTTTTTAAAAAAATTTACTTTTAAGTTTGGTAGTTGTAAATTCTATGTTTCATGTGTTGGTGGTAATTTTTTAAATGTTAGTATATTTCTTGTAACTCTAAAATTTTGAGGGTGTCTTTTGTAATTATTAAAACTATAGATTAATTTTTAAAAATATTAAATTTCAGCGGTCTACCAATCGACGAATTTGATGTGTGCTAGTTAAAATTTTTGAAAATTTAGAGTTTTTTTTACGATTTTTAAATTTTGAAGGAGTTTTTTAAAAATTTTGAGGTTAATTTTGGTAAATTTTAATTTTTTAGGTGTCTAAGGGTAATATCTTGAATTCATCTTATTTTATTTACAAATTTTAGAATTTTAGGGTGGCTTTTTATAATTTGAACTTTTGAAGGTGTTTCTATAATTTTTGAGATATTGAGGGTGTTAATTAAAAATTTTAAATTTAAATGTTAAAAATTTTAGGTGTATCATGGTAATCTCTTGAATTCATCTGTGTTGTTTGTAAGTTTTAAAATTTTAGAATTTTAATGTGTTTGTCTGTAATTTAAACTTTTGAGAGTGTTTCTATAATTTTTGAGACATTGAGGTGTTAACTGAAAATTTTAAATTCTTTGCAAACTGATGTGAATTTTTTAATTTCATGTTTTTTATTTTAAGTTTTGAGACATTTTGGATGAGTTTTATAATTTTGAACTTTTTAGGGTCTTTTCTATAATTTAAAAACTTTTTATGGTTTTTTTGCAATACTTCATGTATTATAATATGTTATCTACTTGTAATTTCTTTATCTTAACAAACTAATATCATTTTTATGTTTTATATATTTTATTAATATTAGTTTTTTTAAATTGTTAAGCTAAACAAGGTTCACATAGGATTAGGATAAGATATGATTATGATTAGGATAGATTAAGATATAAATAAAATATTCAAAATAGTGAAGGGTAATACTGACCATTGAAAATTAGAATTTGATTATAGATAAGGTAGTTCAAACTATAAAGTGGTATATTTGTCTAAAAAAGATTTTCCGAACTCGTGCTTTTAAAGGGAGTATGATATGCTTATTTGTCAATAAATTGAGACTAACAAAACAAAATATATGTTTTACCAATGTAAAACATATCTTCAATGACATAAATCAAATGACATAAAAATTGCTTGTGGGCCAAATTTTTAATTCAAACAGACTATCAAATCATATTCCAATTCCTACTACCTATGGGCAAATCAGGAAAATAATTTGATATTTTATCCTAATTAATTATTTAAATATAATAAAAATTCTTGTAGGATAAAATTTATTATACTAAACATTATTAATTACAATTAACGTCTTTGTATTAAATGTGATCAAAAATTAACTTAATATATAATTTCTTAGGCATAATTAGGTTTGTTGTGGCTAATCCCTAATTAAGTTAAAAAAAATTATATGGATCACTAGACGTTTTACATTTCATGCGCACACAAGACTCACCCTTGAAAACGACATGTTGTCCGACTCTATAAAAAAACCCAAAAACTACATGTCATTTGGAGTCATTTTCAACCTTGAGCCGGGTTGTTTCGACCTGATTTTAGACCCGTTTTCGACCATATTTGATCTCAGCCATTTATAGACAAAATCAAATGCTTTAAATCATAAAATTGACAAAAAATATCTCTAAACGATTCATAACATTAGTTTTCATAAACACTTTGTAAAAATAAAGTTATAAATATTGCATAATCCCCATTATAAGTCAAAATCTCAGAAAACTAATGCTTAGAAAAGCACCCATTCAAATGTTAAAGGCATTCTTAAAAACACGGAAACGCTATAGAAAATTATTTCTCGATGATTTGCAACCCTATATGATGTCAAGAATTGTATAAAATAATTTGACAAAAAAATTTCATCCATGACATATACGGGAAACCGAATACCAAGCGTTCGAACAATGTCAAGGCAGAGAATAAATCAAGCTATGATACCAAATGTATGCATATTTACACACAATATATGTTACAAATACGAATAAACTAAATGCAAAAGAGATCGGCATATCTCCGGCCATTGACGCTTTTGCTTAGAGACGCCTTTAACGCTCTATGTTTTGGAGTTCTTCTAAGCTCTCAGTCACTCGTTTGATGGTGTATAGAAAATATCAAGAGAATAATTGAGCTTAGGGACCCAAAACTCTTTTCAGTTATATATATCGATGTGCTCCCATCAAGTACGTCACACACTTAGTGGCAGTTACCACAAAAATAGGATCAACTTAATAACCCACAAATATGGGCAGCTACAATAAAAATAGAGAACGTTGGACCACTTCATGGGTGGTTAACACCACTCCAGAATTCTAGGTAACAAACTTATACTAAGAGAATCCTCCCTCTCTCGCCCGGAGGATAATTTTATCTCAACACACAGCCATCCTTTTAAACCCTCCAATTAGAAGTTCAAAGAACTAACCATTAATGGAATATTTCACATTCCTACAGTCCTTCAAACTTTCACTTTTTCATTCTCTAACGTTGGCTAGCCTTTTTTTAATCTTCCTCATCAATACTATGGACTTTTTCCTCATTTGTGAGATTTTGGGAGAATCCCAACAAATTCATTGTATTCTTAAAAGTTCTCATAAAAAGCATTGGATGGAAATCAAACCGTCACAGCGGTGCTCTGATTGCCAATGAACTTGACCATTGACCTCTGATTACTTCTGGGGATTCTGAAACCAGCTTAGAGGGGGTTATTCATTGGTGTATTTTGGGGCAAATTGGGTTAATTGTCCCAATAGGATAATTTTACCCATTGAGATAATTTGAGTGGAATAAAGTATGGTAAAATGGGATAATGAGACAATTTAAGTGGGACAATTTAAGTGAGACAATTTGCATGAAGTATCATAAAACAGAAAAAATCACTCAATTATCCTCTGTCTCTCCAGATTAGAAATCCAAGTTTTGGTAACTTGGTTGTCACTCCTCATAGTTCCCATAATCTACCTCATTGCTCATGAGCTGAAATTTTATGCAAAAAGCTGCAATTTAACCTCTACAGAGACAGTAGCAGTCTAGCTATTCAAAATTTCACCTTTTCCACAAAATTCAAGAACACACTCAATTGAAAGAAGAAAGAACCAATCAATTTGCATGAAGTTCCAAACTACGCTAACCTACTAGATCAACCAAAAATAAAACTAAATTGAAAGAAGAAAGAACAAAATTGACCTCAATTATGTCATGGAGAGCTATAATATTGGGATGCTTGATCTTCTTCAAGATCACGATCTTCAACATCAAGCTCTCCTGCAGCTTCCTACCCAATTTCTCCATCACGACCCTACCTCGGGCTGTGGTCTGTTCTTGAACTAGGCATCCTCCGACCCCCCACCGCTGCTCGCCGCCACATCGTTCCCTTCCTCATATTTCACCAAACTCCCATTCCGCTTTCTGTTCCCGTTCAACAAAACCTCCACGCTCCCATTGACCTCGTACCCTAGCCCTCTCGCGCTCAATCACAAAAATTACCCAAAATCAGATCTAATACAGAATCGACGGTGACAAATTCAAACACGACGGTGAGAGGGTGATGGAGAAGAGAGAAGGAGAAGAGATCGCTGGAAGAACGCGGAAGAAGAGACGCTAGGGTAATCTTGTTCCAGCAAATAATTTGGGGTAAATTTGAGGGTGGGGTTTGAGGGTTCTTTATATAGTTGGGATAATTTTGGGGGAAGTGGAGTATTTGTCTCCCAATTATCCCAACAAATCAATAACACTATAAAGTTGAATCCATATCCAATTGCCCCAATGAATAACACTAAAAAGTGGTGTTCCAAAAATTATCTCATTATCCCAGTATTTACACCAACCAATAACTCCCCCTTAGTTAAAATATGAAAATATTTTATGTGCCCTCTTATTATATTATGTTGAATTTTTATTAAACATGTTCCATTTATTCAGAGTTTTTCCCAATTTTGAAATTTTAACCATCTATTTCCAAAACAATAAACTTGTGATTATTATTTATATTTGATGTTAATCCCTTTTTTATTCGTCGGAGAGTAATTTACCTTTCTTTTTTAGTAGGTGGAGAAAAAATTGCGGAGCAAAAGTGGTTTCAACTCTGATGCAGAAAGTCTTGTAATCTTTTAGTACTTTGGTAATGATATAATAGAGATATTGGTGAAATACCAATTTGCAATATGGTGAGGGAGAAGGATTTGTTTGCAAGTCTTGTAATTTTTAGTGGTTTGTACAAGTAGTATCAACATGTAATGACATGGAATATAGTTCTTCTTTTTTCTTTTTCTTTTTTTCTTTTTTTGAAATTGCTTGATTTCTCAGCTGAAGTCTTTATAGCAAAAGATGCTATGGACATCTAAAATGAAGGTCAATTTCTTGCATGCTTTGCTCATCCAGGACACGACATAATTAGAGGTGGAGATTGATGTATAAGATGTTCATTTCACAGAGAGCCAATTAGGTTTTGTGATGATCACCAGTATAAGCGTAGCCCCAACAAAGTTTATTAGCGGCATAGATGTTTGTAAATTATTTGAGATAGAGTGGCAAGAGAAGAGAGAATAAATTTGGGTTCCGAAAATTTTAATGAATTTTAATGCTTTTGGATTCCACTTGTATCAGATAATTATTTGTTTTTCAAAAAAAGGATGATTTTTTTTTTAATTTCAACAGCGATAAAAATAATTACGAGTTAATATTCTATTTCAAGGGAAACAAGTATGATTTAATATTGTACGGGAAAAATCCTGACATCCTACTTTTCGACATCTATTTTCGGAAAAAAAAAACTCCTTAAAACAGGAAATGAGTAGAGCTTAAGATGTGCTCCCAAAATATATTTTAAATTGACGGCGGATGACATCGTTTAATTTAACGAATTTTACTAGAACATATGTCAAGTTTTTTCTTTAATAACAATTTTAAGACTAATATCGGGACGTGTAATGTTTATGTGTTATAGCCTGAAAGTAACTTAGTGTTAATCTCCTTTGGGAAACTAACACACGTTCCACACCACACCTAATCAGACTTATGTACAACTCGACGACTCGAGCTGCTCATGCGGTCGACTCTATTGTCCAACAACCTACATAGCCGAGTAAAAAAGCAGTATTAGTCGTCCAACCTAACCAAATGGCCTCTGCGAATAACCCACACTCGGTGTACTATTTCAGCCGACAAACTACGTAGTCGAGTAAAAAGACGGTGTTAGTCGGCCCTCCACCAGACGACTGTAGAGGCGGTAGTTTTCTCGAACCCTGCGCCGATAGCCGCATGCCCTTGCATTAACTGCTTTGGCAAAGTCATCATAACTCTAGTCCCCAAAGTCTTTATGACTTATCAAGCTTCGTCAGTATCAAGCACCTGCTGTCGCTTGGCACTAATCACCTAGATGACCTATCTTTGCCAACGACTGATACTTGTCAACTGTTTGCCGAGTCAGCTGCTTACTGGACAGCTCAAGTTACCTATCTTGTTGGACCCTAGGGGGGGGGGGATTAGGGTCTTATGCTAATCTAATCCGATTTTATGCTAATTTAATATGTTCTTACAATATGATATACAAATACTTATGAGCAAGAATATGCAATATGAACACATGTGATATATCCTATCAATGAGATATACTATATGATGTATGCAAGAATATATAAACTATCACAAGGGTGAAACAAACAAGATGCAATAGGCTATAAGGTGAACAGTTATAAGTGTGCCAATGCAAACCAAACACGCTATATGTTCACGAGGTTCGGACCTTCCGTCCTACGTCCCCGCTCCCCACTCTCGAGGAGAATCCACTACACAACCCGGTTTGGAAGCCGAAACTTCTCTACACATTCGGTTTTCTAGCTAACCGAAAACTCTACACACTCGGTTATCAAGTCAACCAACAACTCTCACAAATCCTCACAATGTACATGCACAAGCTACAACCTTAAGTATTGGTCCTCACGTATCGCCTTCCTCAAGTGCTCGGAATTATCACCTCTCACTAGGCCACCGACGCCACTCCTCTCGGTATCGACTATATTCTCACCACACACTCCTCTCGGTGTACAAGTGTATTACAAAGTGAACTCACAATGAAGGCTCAATACAAATGATTGTTCTCTAAACAAGGTGAGAACTCAATTAGGTACAACTGTAAGTCACAAACCCCACAACCCAAAATGTACTATGAATGTAAATACTATAAGCTCAATAGGTTGTGTGTGAACAAAGAGATAAAACAATATAAACTCAATATGAAATCTAGCTTATGAAATTAAGAACAAACATAAGAAATGCTAGAATTGAGTTTAAGAAAACTTCTCTATAGATGACAAGAAAGAGGGAGAAGAGTTGAATGCTCAAACACCAATAGATGATCTCCACTTGCTCTTGTGAAATTATCTTCACAAACCGAAACTTGAAAATGCTTATAAGCTTCTTAAACAAACTTAAACAAAACTTAAACCCTTGTTAAAACTTTTTTTAAAACATTCTCTTGGATATTGGAGAGATAAATACAATGGGGTATTTATAGGCTCCCAAAACATCAGCAAAAACCCAAGAAAAAAGACCAAAAACCCAAAAACAAACAAAACAGAAAACTAGCCGTTACTGTGCAACGGCTCTCTGATAAGTCGACTTATGAGTCTACTTATGAGTCGACTTATATGAGTCGACTCAGCAGAAGAAAAACACAGCTGGGCTACACTTCATAAGTCAACTTATGAGTCAACTCATGAGTCAACTTATGAGTCGACTTATACGTGCACAAACCTGAAATGTACAGAAAAAATTCAACTTTGAAGTGCCTTTAAAAATAGCAAATAAATTCCTAAAATTATGAAACTTTGGAAAATGTTTATAAACATGTAAATGAACATGTTACAAATTTTTTTTGGAATTGCACTTCACATTTGTAAAAAATTATCATTTTGTAAAATAGTCCAAAAACATGAAAACTAAACATACATGTTTTGACATTTTGACTAAACTATGTTTTGAAAAAATACAAAATGATTATATAGACTTAATACAAGATGTATATCATTATTGTAAGTCCATATACTAAGAAATCAATATTATCATAAAATTGCATATTCTATGCAGTATATATTTAAACATAATAGAGTATGAAACATATGATGATATATATTAATGTATATTTGTTTCATATCTATATAGTTAAACCAAAACACAATAATAAATATGAAACATGAAAACTCAAAACTATGTATGTATATATATAACTATATATATACATAGAAACCAAAAACTAAATTGTGTGTGTATGTATATATAAGGAAACCAATATAATGTGTGTATATATATGATTGAGCTTAAAGTACTAACACACATATTATAAGAACCTAAAACTACATATACCCAAGCTTGTGATCTTCAACGAAGCTCTATCTTGGTACACTTGCGGATGAAGCTTGAACTTGGATCTTCAACTTTGAATTGCAATGCTTCACTCCACAATTCTACCAACCTTCATTGGATATGATCATGAATGCGCAATTCCATCCATCCTCCTACTCGTTGTTTGCCTAGAATAGATACGAAAACACAAACACTAGACAAACAACATTAGAAGTAAATTGTTTGTTAAACATCATCAAAACAAGAAGGCTAACAATCTCCCCCTTTTTGATGATGACAAACAATTTACAAAAAAAAATATGCATGAATGAAAATGAATATATAAATTATAATTCACATGCATATAAACAAGGAAATGTATACTCACAATATTTCTCCCCCTTTGACAACATCAAAAAGGGGAAAACAACAAGAATGAAGAGAGCGAAAGCTCCCCCTATCAATATGTATGAGTGAGTATAAAACAAGTATAGGGAATAGCTCCACCTATCAAAATGCCATATAGAATATATGAAATGAAAGCTAAGGCAAAAACATGTGAGTAAGCATAAATGAAAGATATGCTAACCATAACTCACATACAAACAAGATAATGAGAACACATATTAATATGTCATTTATGAAAGAAGTGTCTCATTACACAAATATAAAAACATAGTGGATAAAAAATAGATTTATGAAAGCAAAGGAATGAGGAAAACATGAGAACCATGAAAAAAGTTTTCAAGTGAAAACAAATCACTCAAATGAAATCATAAATCAAGATTTGAGTCTAAAAACAATGTTTGATAAAAAAAAGAATTTTCTTTGTATAACTTGATCAAACCACTCATAGAATACATTATAACACACGAATAGATGATCCATAAGAACAAACACATAAATATCATCATATAAGTGAAATATAATGAATTCAAAGCAACAAATAAAAACACAATTTTAAGAGAGGTAACAATATATCAAGCTCTTAAGCTTGTTCCAATCCATATAATCATTCTAGCATCCGGTAAACATGATTTGAGAAATAAACACCCAATAAACCCGAGGGGTTATATAAATACAAACATCTCAACAAAAATTGACACTAATAATCATGAAAACAAAAGAATTGATCAAAGAAAAATTATTTTCATATTAAAAAAAAAATTAAAACATAATTTTCAAAACCAAGAAAAATTAAAAATTAAAAAAATAATATAATTCTTGGTTTTAAAAAGATTTTGGCATCCAAGTATTCTTGGTGTCGGATTGGTTAGGGACATGACCCATATCAATAAAGCTCAAAGTCCTAGGGTTATGAACTCTTTTGGGCATATTTGGTGTACTAACCCGGTCATAATAATAATTGCTCAAATGACCCTTCCGATTACAATTTATGAAATAAAAGTGACTCATTTGTTTTTGTGGACCATATGCTCGTGTACGGGAACCATTTGCAAACAAAGATTGTCTTTTAAAATTATTTTGCAAATGAGAAGCATTATCAAACAAAGGTGGTTTACTTGGGAAATTTGGCAAGTTTGAACATTTTTTTTAAATCATAACAAAACTTCGCCAAATGGCCAAATCTACCACAAATATCACATTTAAAAATATGCGGTCTACTAGAAACATTTGGCAAACTAGATTTTCTTTTCAAATCAAAATAATACTTAGCCAAATGACCAAAACGACCACAATAATCACATTTAAACACACTAGCATGCTTATGATGAGAAATAAATGCATGTGCATGTATGTGAGATGAAGAAGCCTTATGAGATGCACAAGAAGCATTAGTCTTAGAAGATTTATGTGCATCATAGCAAAATAGATGCACAAGAAGCATTAGTCTTAGAAGATTTATGTGCATCATAGCAAAATTTAGCAATGTGGCCTTTACGACCGCAAATTGAGCATTTGTAAACTTTGCTATATATGTGTGCATAATGAGTGGATGATGACTTAGACTTGGCACACATATCCATAAGCCTCTTATGATTATTAATGCATGTTTTTAAAG